AAGAATTAAAGGAACAACTGAGGGGATTGCTTGATAAAGGTTTTATCAGACCTAGTACGTCACCGTGGGGAGCACTTGTGTTGTTTATGAGAAATAAGAGATGGTTCCTTACGAATGTGTATTGATTATATGCAGTTGAATAAGGTGACGATCAAGAATAAGTACCCGCTCCCGAGGACTGATGATTTATTTGATCAGTTACAAGGTGCCAAGTGTTTTTCAAAGATAGACTTGAGGTTCGGGTACCATCAGGTAAGGGTTAAGGAGGAAGATATTCCGAAGACAATATTCAGGACAAAATATGGGCACTTTGAGTTTCATGTTATTTCGTTTGGTTTGACCAATGCCCCAACAGTATTTACAGATTCGATGAACCGTGTGTTCAGGCCCTTTTTAAGATCTGTTCGTAATCGTATTTATCAACGATATATAGTGGTATATTCTTGTTTAGGGGCTAAGCATGCAGATCACTTGCGTACTGTGCTCAGAGTTCTACAAAAAGGGAAGTTGTATGCAAAATTCTCTAATTATGAATTCTGGTTGAACTCTGTAGCTTTCCTTGGGCATATCATTTCGGGTGAAGGCATCGGGGTGGATACACAAAAAAGTGAGGCATTGAAGACTTGGCCTAGACCCACAACACTGATGGAGGTTCGTAGCTTCTCCGTTTGGCAGGATATTACCGGAAACTTGTAACGACATTTTCTTCTCTTCTAAGCACCTTCGACCAAGGTGGTATGTGGTGTCTCGCTTAATGTTTCGGAATAACATGAGGAAATCTATGATGCAAGTAAGTTGAAGAAAGGTTGAGAATAAACATAAATAGATGTGTGTAGGTCGCAAGCTAAAGTATGGTAGAGCGGCAAGGTTTTAGGAAGACAGGAGGAAGGATAAGAAAAGATGAGTGAAAAGGTGACGAGAATGAATAAGTCCTTGGGAATAAGTTCATAAGAGATCTGATGATTCTCTAAGTTATAGAAGGCTTAGTATAGCCCGAATGAACTCAAAGGAGTCTAAGACTAGTAGCGTTTAGAATAGATGAAATACTGCCCTAATAGTGGGATACGGGCGTAATTGTGATGGATAAAGGATAAAGTTTGGGCCTCTGAAGAGGGGAATTTCCTAAATTGTAAAAGATTAGGATACCCATGTCAGTTAACTCAGAAGGGAACTAAGTTTCAATGGACCAATCCTTGCGAACGGAGTTTTCGGACATTGAAGGATAGATTAACTTCAACACCGTATCTACCGCTCCCAGAAGGGACCGATGGTTATATTATCTATTGTGATGCTTCAGGCATTGGATTGGGTCATGTACTGATGCATCATGGTAAGGTTGTAGCTTATGCTTCTAGATAACTAAGAAAGCACGAGAAGAACTACCCGGCCCACAATTAAGAGTTAGCCCTGGTGATTCATGCACTAAAGATGTGGAGGCACTACTTGTATGGCATTCATGTTGATATCTATACGGATCATAAGAGCATCCAGTATATCTTCAAGCAAAAGGAATTGAATATACGTCAAAGGAGATGGTTGGAGCTACTTAAAGACTATGACGTTGATATTTTATACCATCCGGGGAAGGCGAACGTAGTAGCTGATGCCCTCAGCCATAGATATATGGGTAGCCTGTTGTATTTAAAGCCAGAAAAGAGGGGAATAGCCCATGAGGTTCATTAGCTAGCTAGTTTTGGAGTTCGGTTGCTGGACTCAGGTGATATTGGAATCACTATTCAGGATACGCCAACATCCTCTTTAGTAACTGAAGTAAAGGAACGCCAGTACGAGGATCCTATGTTAGTTCATTATACGGATACCACCCCTCAGAAGGAGAAGACACCATTTGAAATTACAGAAGATGGGGTCCTCAGATATCGAGGACGATTATGTGTCCCTAATATTGTAAGGCTATGTCGGCTAGTTATGGGAGAAACTCACTATTCTCGTTATTCTATCCATCCAGGAGTGACAAAGATGTATCATGATATCAGGGAAATGTATTGGTGGGACGGAATGAAAAAGGATATTGCGGAGTTTGTTGCTCAGTGTCCTAACTGTCAGCAGGTTAAGATTGAGCATCAGAAACCCAGTGGGTTATTGCAAGCTATGGAGATTCCGACTTGGAAATAGGAAGTAATCAATATGGATTTCAACATAGGCTTACCACGTACCCATCGTAAGTTTGATTCGATATGGGTGATTGTTGACATGCTTACAAAATCGGCCTATTTTCTGCCTGTTAGAGCTGCATATGCCTCAAAGGATTATGCAAGGCTTTATATTAAGGAGATAGTACGACTGCATGGTGTCCCTATATCTATTATCTCGGATAGAGGAGCTCAATTTACAGCTAACTTCTGGAGGTCCTTCCAAAAAGGATTGGGGACTCAAGTAAGTCTTAGTACAACATTTCATCCCTAGACAGACAGACAGGCTGAGCGTACTATTCAGACACTGGAGGATATGTTACGAGATTGTGTAATAGACTTCAAAGGTAGCTGGGATGATCATCTACCGCTTATTGAGTTCGCATATAATAATAGTTACCATTCCAGTATTCAGATGGCTCCATACGAAGCTCTTTACAGATGAAAGTGTAGGTCGCCTATAGGGTGGTTTGATGTTGGAGAATCTGGATTACATGGGCTAGACCTAGTTCAGTAAGCCATATAAAAAGTAAAGCTTATCCGGGATCGACTATTGACAGCTTAGAGTCGTTAGAAGTCATATTCTGACGTGCGGCAACGAGATATAGAGTTCGGGGTTGATGATTGGGTATTCTTAAAGTGTCACCTACGAAGGGTGTGATGATGTTTGACAAGAAAGGTAAACTTAGCCCATAGTATATTGGGCATTATAGGATCATTCGGAGAGTGAGCCAAGTAGCTTATGAATTGGAATGCCCTCGGAATTGGAGTCTGTCCATCCGATTTTTCACATATCTATGTGACGAAAGTACATTGGCGATCCTACCCGAGTGGTGCCCATGGATGATGTACAGATTACAGAAGGCTTGTCATACCAGGAAATTCTGGTTGCCATAAGCTACAGAATAAGGAGGTAGCCTCCGTAAAAGTACTTTGGAGAAACAATAATGTGGAAGAAATGACTTGGGAGGCCTAAGAAGATATGAAGTCTAGATATCCCTACTTATTTTCTCCTCCAGAGAAGGTCCCGCCTGAGACATCATAACCATATGGTACGCGTATAAATTCTTGTGTTGGTTATTGTCGTTGGCCGTATGAGGCCATTATCGTTATTAATGATCATGGTCCTATGTGGCATTAAATTATCGAGTTTCTACAGGAAGAGTTGGTAGTAGTGTAGTTACAAAGGCGACCCTGCCAAAGTTATATGGATAACGGGGAGTTGAACATTCGAGGACGAATGTTTCTAAGGGGGGAAGGATGTTACATCTCGCATTTTCGTACGTTAAAAGTTTCGTCTTCAGTTAATTAACGTAGACTCGGGGATGAGATCATCTTGACGTTAACGTATTTACGCTATTTATAGCAAGCGATAAATAAGTGTTATGAAGGATAAAGGGGTACACGAATTAAAGAAAATGAGTTTCGTTGAAAGTGGCCAATTTGGGATAAAATACGGGTCGAACGATAATACCCGATGAAGTATGAACTAGTACCATGCAAGGTACCATATGACCATGGTAGTATAATGTATAAAGTATATATAAAGTATATTAAAAATAAGTAGAATTTTAAGCAATTTATGGTAATTTTTAAATTATACGGGTAATTGATTAATTATCGAATAACGGGATATTACCCAATTAACTAATAAGTGGATAAAAATTTATAAATTATCCCCCAAAACAAGTGGCAAGAAGCCACAAACCAAGAAGTGACTAAGTAATCACTTATACCTAGGTGGCAACCTGGGCTTAAAAGAGAATGGATGATTATCCTAAGTTATTTTGTTACAATTCAATATGGATCAAAATGGGAATCCAAGAACGTTATTCATTCTAAAATTTCAAGTAACCAGAAATGTTATTCCTTCTAAATTTCAAGGGACCAGAACGTCATTCCTTCTAAAATTTCAAGGAACCAGAACGTTATATCATTCCAATATTTCAAGGAACCAGAAGCTATCTCGTCCATGAATTTCTAAGAAGCTGGGGCAAATTTCGTTCAATCAACGAAAGTTTTCCAACGGAATATTATACGGAGTTTTCCTTACACCTGGTATGTTAAGGCCATCCCTTCTTTCTTTTGACATGGTCCAAATTATACCGAAGAAACGAGCAAACACACAGTTTCCATAAATTACTCTATTCATAGAAATATTAGGGGTGTCTATATTTTTGATTCCCTATATGAATTATTACTATCTTCTGTTTATGAGTCTCAGAATAATACGCAGTTGAAAAAGTTTATCCGGAAGGAATATTGAGATTATTACGTATTTTTCATGCATTTCACCCATTTATACATGTGCATTGACCCATAACCAGATGACATTATATACACGTATATATGTAAATATATGTATATGGAATATGGGAAAAGGTTACGGCGTTATATACGCACTACCACCTAATCTACTGGTATATGTTGATGATGTTGCCCACAGTGGCCGAGACAATATGATGGGATGCGCTCAGTGGCTTGATGATATAATGTACACCCATACCTATGCATGTCACGAAATTTATACGCACGTGCATGACATTATAAATGTTTTAGAATTATAAAGTTATTCAGATTGAAAGATGTGTTTCTATATTCCATGTTTCATCTATGTCTTTTACGTACTAATTTTCATGCCTTACATACTCAGTACATTTTTCGTACTGACGCCCTATTTCACGGGGCCTGTGTTCATACCCGTAGGTGCAGGTAGGCAAGCTGACAGTCCCCCTCCTTAGGATCCCTAATCAGCGAGAGTTGGCGTGCTCTACTTGATTCAGAGCTGCTTTTGATTTTGGTACGATATGTCTCTCTCTCTCTCTCTCTCTATATATATATATATATATGGTAATGACGTGACTCAATCACGTCTTCGTACAGTTATGTTTCCATTAGATGTCTGTAGACAGTATGTCTATTTGGGTTGTATGTGGCTTTGTCGGCTTTCAGTTCACTACAGAAAAAGAGGGCTACGACGACATTTAATCAACGACATGTGAAATAAATGTCGGAAAAGGACTAATTTTATGACACTTATTTACAAATGTCGTAAAATCAATGACATTTGGTAAGAAATGGCACAATATTGTGACTTTTAATTGAAATGTAGCTATATTAGTCGGTATTTACTGACATTTATAACTAATGAAGGACATTTGCTTACATTTATAATTATTAAACTTAAAATATATTAAATATAGGGGCGTCTACTATTTTATCTCAAAAACTCTACAAAACTCCCCCTTTTCTCATACGTCTCGCATTCATAAAATTGGTAAGTTTCTCATGAAATCGCAACAATCTTCTAGGATTTACCATCTTCTTTTGGACTCTTTTCATATACCTTTCTAGCATTAGGATCAATTTATCAAATTCAGAGTCGGTGGTTAATTAGCAGATACTACTGATTATTCCTAGATTGTTCTTAGATTGATTTATAACTCTCAACATGACAGATACTACTGATAATTCTCAAACTTCTAATCGAGGTTATTAAGGCGCATTTCTCCTGTGATTTTCGTTCTATTATGTTAACTTGATTAAATTTCCTGCCTTTAAAATGGTTGTAACCTTTTCTTTTATTATTATGTATTGAAGTTTGTTGTGGTTGCTGATGATTGGTTTGGGAAGTGGTAGGTAGGATTTATTTATGAATTTAATATTTCTCTGCTTACGTTATTGGTAGTGGGTTGTTGAAATTGATCAATTTGGGCATACAATATTAGCATCTGCTTTGTTGTTTTATTTTTATGTCACTTTGTATTTGCAGTTTCTATTAAATTTCAGTTGTTGGTTATTCTGCTAGTGAATTTTGCTTTTACTGTTCTGTTCTATCCACCAGAGAGGACAAAGCCTTGGAAGTGTGGCACTAGATAACCACAAGCTCATTATTCATGAAGGACTTGCAATGTTGGATCCCTCAAGGAGATGGCATTCTGCTTTTCAGTAAGAATATGGATATTAGTACTATTTATAACTCCATGAGAAATATGACTTTTGTAGCATGATCATTATCCAAATATGGTTAGTGAATTCGAGTTGATTGTGGTTCTAAACTTTGCAGGCCGGTCTAAATAAATATGTAGTTTGTATTACTTATCACTAAATCAACATACTAGCATGACTATTAGCACTGAAATATACTACTAACAAGATTACCGTGCATGTGCTCAAAATGACTTGCACTAGGAGCATACTCAAGGGTCGTCATCCTTGTAAAAGGTTATCTCTTCACAATATCAATGAGATCAAGAAAATTCTTGTGGTTCACTTGTGAAATATATCAATCTACGCAAATAATTTTAACAGAATATCATGTAAACTCTACAACTAAAATGTAATGCTTATTGTTAAAGGGAGTAGGAAAAGGAAAACGACAAAGAGAACTTTTCCTTTTGTGTTGCATTTATTTTAACTGAACAGACGTATGTGTGTTCAAGCACCTTTTGCATTTTCTTACTTTATGGATCACCTGTTTATATTTGTGGCTTATGTTTCTGGAAGACTTGAAGTTTCTTATTGTTTTTTTATTTTTGATAAGTTCGTTCATTGTTCTTCTTTGTTTGTATGATGGAAGTTCTTAAGCTGCACAGGTTCTAATGTTCCATGTGATATCATTTTCCATATAATTTCTATAGAAGTTGCCTGCTAACTGATTTTTTTTACTTAATCTTTTTTAACTTCTAATTTATGCCTTTATTGGATTTATGTTTAGGTTGATATGCAAAAATTAGAGTCAAGAAGAGGACAGTCTTATGCAAAGGCTGTTGCCATAAAGATTCCAGTTGCCTCTTTGTACGGAGGCTCACTAAGTGAACTGTTGTGAATCAGTGTTCTTGTAGTCGACATTGGTCTTTATTTATAGTTAGCATTTAGCTTGTTCTGAAGATGAATAAGGATAAAAAATTATATTCTATGAGAACCATTATCGAATGATGGTGTAAGATTTATAAAAATAGCCTCTTTTGTTTTAATTCAAATTTCTTTTGTAGGGTATGATATTGTATTATCAAAATTATATGAATAACTGAAATGTATGAAAAGCTAATGTTCTCTATGTATATAAAGAAAAAAAACTGTTGACCAAAGATAATTTACCGACATTTCTATATATGAAGAAAAGACGAATAATATTTGGTGACATTTCTTTATATGTCACAACTTTATTGAGCTGATATTCAAATAGGTGACATTTTGATAAAAGTCGTTGACAAGTGTCATATTTATTTGCCAACATTAATTTAAATGTCGGAAAATTTCCGACATCGAAATTTACGACATTTGATATAAATGTCAAATAAATGTCGGTAAATGTTTTATGACATTTATGTGACTAATGACGACATTTAAAAAATGTCGTCGTAGTCCTATTTTCTTGTAGTGAACATTGGATGTATAGTTGTCTGCTGCAGCTTTACCGGCTCACCCACTGTGTTCTGCATGTATACGTACATATGCCTTGTTGGAAGGTTTTCTTCATGTATGTTATCTTCGTAATTCAACAGATGTTATACAAGTTCATATGCTAGACGCATGCTTAAGGGTGTTTGACATGTAGAACTTAGGCACCCGTCGCAGCCCATCGATTTGGGTCGTGACATAATGTATGAAAATTGTAGATAAGTTGTAGAAAGTTGTACTAGTAAAAAAAGTATGTACAACTAATATCAATTTTTTTGAATTATCTTTTCCAGAATTTTTTCTAAGAATAATATGTGGGGAGGGGTGAGTTGATGCGGAACTGTTTGAGGTTATTTTTGTGGGTTTAGTCCCAAGACCCCCCTCACCCCCGCCATTCCTATGAATTCCCTTGCTGGTTTTTGTCAAGGCACGAAGTAATTGTATATTTGTGTAATTGAATGAATCTATGTGCATGGAATTGTCTGAAAGGCTTCGTAGCAAGGGGGAGAACGATGAATTCAGGTTTGTTAAATTGTTAAACAAGTATTTGGAAAGTGGAATGTAAAATTGACTGAAGCTTAATTTGCTGAAATCTTGTCTTGTTCAAAGCAATTTGGACAACAAGTTGTTCATTAAGAGGGGAGACGGTTGGTAATCATCCTCGTCTATGTTCACTATGGGTGAAGTTAGCAGATTTAGTTGGGAAATTGTTTACTCAGAGATATGGGGAGAAAGACAGAATCTGCAGAGAAAAAAGGAAAAGAGTGTAACTAAATCCCTTGATTAAAGGCACAAATAATGGATTGTGAGCCTTTTAAGGTGAATTGTATATATTTTGTAAACAAAACTTGTTTATGCAGGGTAATTAACTAAACATGGACATTAAGAGTAATAAAGTTTCAAATAGTATATAAAAATGAAAAAATTCTTATTTAAATTGATTATTGGGCTTCATTTAGGTTGATAAAAGTTTGGGCTTGTATTGACTTTGGAAATAAGTTGTTCTATTTTGACCATTTTTAATAGTCCCACTTTTTAAATTATTATTATTATTATTATTATTATTATTATTATTATTATTATTATTATTATGATGATGATGATGATGATGATGATAATGATGATGATGATGGCATTTGAGTTAGAATTGGAGTCCATAGCTTCACTAATTAGTTATAGGATTGCCTTCTCTTTCATTACTTTAAAGTTTAATCTGAAGCCTAACATAAAGTCTTGTGCTTACCCATCCAATCACCAAATTTCCATCCCCTCGCATTGGATATTTGCTTACTTATGGTCCTACATTAAGTCTTCAGTAAATCATTCTGAAAAATTCATTCTTCAGCATCCTTTGTACTTCATATTCATCAATTTTTTTTAATTTTGCTAGAATGTCTGATGAGCGAAAAATTAGGGTTGGATTATATTGGGGTGGTGAGGTTGTGATGGAGAATAACTCGGTGCACTATAGTTGTTCTCCACAGAGTGTTGTTAAGTTGCCAATTACATTTGAATATGCTAGATTGGTATCTTTGATTTGTAAAAGAATGAGTGTGAGTAAACGTTCGGTTAATATTAAGGAAACTAGAAGATATCCTTATTCGCTTAAGCCGCAAGGGGTTGCTTGTTATGTCGAGTTTAAAATCGAAGAAGATGAAACTCTGCAAAATTTTTTGAGGACTCCAGATGAACATTGGGATGTTCTTGTGTTAAAAATGCTGGAAATGTACGTCGAGTCTAAAGACGTCAAAAATATTTATGTTCTACAAAATATGGATAACAGTCAATCATCTGGTGGTGTTTCAAGTTTCGTATGAAAGAGTATGGCCAGATCTAAACTAATCTCTACAGATTAATGAGAAGCGATGACATAATTTCTCCCCAATATAGGAGCATGGAGGCTCGCCAAATTTACATAATTCACACGCCGAATCGTAAATTTTAATTTTTCTTGTTGTAGTATAATTGTTTCTTTTATAAATCATATTCGTACTAACACTTATATCTTTCAAAGGGGTTGCCGATAAGATATGAATTTTACAAGTTGTGAACCAATCAATAGTTGAAATATACCCAATTTTGGAGGGTTGGACATGCTGATCCATCCGCGAGTCATCAACAACACGATAATGAGCTTCATGAGCTATCTACAGATTCTGAATTGTAAGTTAAGAGAGAAAACTAATATATTATGTTGTGCAGATATTGAGAGACTCATTATTTTATTGGTTCTGCAGTGAAAACGAGCAACATGACGGGCCTATCCTAACTTAGTTGCGCGATGATGATATATTGAATCAGGATATGGCAGAGGCACATAGTAAGGAATATGACAGTGATTGTGATAACAAGGCTGATGAGTCTGGAGATGATACACCCTTCCCTTATGAGAGGGACAATGAGGAACCACACTTTGCAGATGAGAGTGAGAATGAGAAACCCGATTTGATGAGGGAGCATGATGCCACAACTGAGCATGCTCCATATATGCAGACCCCACCTAACGTTATACCCACAATGTACGAGTCCCATGTGCCCTTTCATTCAAGGGGGATTTTGTACCTTGATCACTTGCCCAGTATGCCTGATGTGGATGCCCTCATAAGGGATATTGACGACATTCGTACAACAAAGTGGAATGAATCTAAACTAACAAAGCTATGTAAGAATATTCTTTTTGGTGACAAGTCGCGCCTTAGCAGGGCGGTGCGAGTTTTCAGCATAAAAAACTGTCGTGAGATTGAGGTTGTTGATACATCTAAGCAAATATATAAGGTTGTTTGTCATGGATGGGACCAAGGTTGTACATGGATGCTGTGTGCGAGAAAGTTGAAAACTAATATGTGGAGCATGAGAAAATACATTGGCAAGAACACTTGTGATATAGACACATTCAATGGGAATCATTTGATTTCCCTTGTATTGATTTTATACATTGAATCGTCCATAAGTATAAGGTGAAAGAGCGTATAACACCAGTTGTACAGGTATATGTGTGTACCACGATCAAAGTCCTAACTTACCAGAATACATATTCAGATATGTGTTCTTTGGCATTTAAACCATCCATTGATGGTTTTGTTCATTGTCGACCTGTAATCTCCATAGACGCACACATGTATATGGAAAATAAGATATAAAGATGTTGATTGTCGTTGCAATAGATGCTAATGGAAGCATATTTACCCTTGCATTTGCTATTTGTGCCAACGAAAGTCAAGAGACGTGGACATGGGTTTTAAGCCACTTGAAGGAGCACGTTGTGAGACATCGTTCAAGTATTTGACTAATATCTGATCGACACAGTGGGACTTTTAGTTTTGTGCGTACTTTGGATGCATGGAACGAGCCGTACGCCTACAATTGTTACTGTGTTATAGGCACTTGAAGGCCAACTTCTAGCGGGCTCATTTGAACAAACACTTATATTATTTAATGTAGATGGCTATAACAGACCATCAAGAGCAAATTCAGTATGCGAATGAAATTAATTATGCAGGAAGACGAATGAGCTTATCATTGGTTGATGCAACATGAGCTTGATAAGTGGAATTTGCATAAGGATTGTGGCATAATTGTCACGCCCCAAACTAAGGGAGGCACGACTGACACTCGATACTGTATTCGATCGAATTAGCCACTAAACATACTAGCTAACTAAACTGGGGGCCCAACAAATCGGGCAGCACAACATCTGAAATGCTAAGCCTGGACCATTAAGGTCATGACCTGAATAACAATAATCTATATAAACAAAGGTAGACGAGCCAAAATAATAAAGTACTAGCTGGCTGACGAGGCCGCGATTGGAGACATACAAGCCTACACACATATATATACATGCCAAGCCTATGGGGTGGAGACTGAAAGCTATAAAAAGAAACCCAGAATACTGTGTCCACAATAGCCTCTAAGAGTGTCATAAGCACTGTCGAAACAAGACCCCGACTATACCCAAATTGTATAACAAAAGTAACTATTCTATGAAAGCTCCAGGAAGAGGTGGAGCTTACCAACTCACAGCTGAACCCCGAAATCCTAGCGGAGGGGTCGATTAGAGTTCCTACCTGAACCTGCACGCACGAAACAAAAATGTAGTGTCACCAGACAACGGGACATCAGTACAAATAAAAATGTACTGGTATGTAAGGCAAACAGTAGAATCATACATAGCTGATGTAAAAAAAAAAGTAATAGAGATACCACCTGACACTGAAACTCTGATAGCCTCCATGGCCGACATCCGACTTCATAGTAATCAAATATGCATGGTATGCTCGTGTAATCGTATGTCGTGAATACATATATATTGATGCAAATGCATGACATACCCAATCAAATGCTAGCAATGGCGGTCTCTTCCGGTAGCTAACCGGTATCATATTGCCAACCTGTGGCCATCTGTACAATATATATAGTTTTTCGGGCAAATAGGACCCTTACCTCCGATTATAGCTCGAAGTCCATGCATAATATGCCATGTATGATATGAACTTTGAATGTACATAATAGGCCATAACAAGAACTTAGCCAATCTTGGCTCATAGGTACTCTTATCCTCAGGATCTCATAATCACCTTCGTATCGCATACAATTATCTCGTGGAACCTCATATATT